TGGAAGTTCTTCCGAGAGTATTGGTCCAGGCGTCGCCATCGGAGGCTGCCAACTAAGTCTTCCACCCTGAAAAGCACGGCAAGAGTTTGCTTCATTTGGATCCACAACCGAATGAGAACGTTTTACTACGATGACATATCCGGTCTTCCCGACTTTCGGACTTTCTACACAGCTATTACCTTCATAGCACTTTCAACAATAACTCAAGAGATGCATAATCGACACTTCGGTTGGTACATTAATAAACAGTTCAATTAAAACAACTTTAACTAATCAGATGAGTTTAAAAGGAAAGTTAGTCTGAATGGGAGCTGTTGCCTGTCATGAAAGACATGAAACGCCATTTAATCCTAGGGTTTGGTAAAGGGTCACTTAGAGGCTGCACTACCGTTTTTCTGGCAGACGTTCTAGCCTTTGGGCCGTGCCATTAGTTAGGAGGACGCAAAAGCACGATTTTTTGAATTCATTTTGCTGCTACCCTTATTTTGTAGGAATCGGAATAGTTGTAAACTAGAGGTAGTCAACATCATTTTAAACACAAGAAACAGCAATTCTAACAATAACCTAAAAGTGCAAGCTATCGGTGGGGCAAGTTTAAATGCAAATCCGAGTTAGTAAAATCAGGAATTTCGCCAAGAGGCAAGTAATGCCCTGTTGTGGTTGGGCTAACAGATTGCAAAGAGTTACTCACAGAGTCCAGAAGGTGGAAACAACAGGCGGCTTTGATTGGTGGAATTTTTACCAACTCATGAAAAGATAATTAAATGCTAGGGAAGTTGATTCTGGTGGAGATAGTATTTAATGCTGCAGGAAGGCAGAGTGCATGTGAGTTACAAAGGCTGTAGCAAACACCGATGACCTCTTCGTTCACCCCTCTCGTGCTGCGCTTATGTGTGCGTTTGTGCAAAAGGAGTGTAAACATGAAGCAGAAAAGGAAGAGGTTAAAGTTGTGAACCCATGAATCACACGCAAAGATGCGAAAGCCCACCATCTGCACACACAACCTCAGAGGTTCTCTCTTTCTAGCTCTCGTGCATGAGAATCTGCACTCTGATTTGAGTTTGCCTGCGCATCTACCCGGTGATACTTGGTGAAATGCATCCTCTACTCTTTGCATTCCCACATTACTGTGAGGAAGGGGTGAAAGGAGTTAAGTTAGGAGTGAAATGCGTCACTGAAAATGACAGAACGGCTTATATGGTAAATTAGAGAAATCTTAGATGACACAACAGCCCCGCTAAACTAATGACAAGCGATACCACCGCATTGAGAAAACAGTGGGACTACAAGGTGGAAGTCAAAATGTCCTTGGGTGTATAATTGAACATAACTTAATCTGGGGTTAAAGAAGAAAAAAAAACAGGCCAAAACACCCTCCATTATCTGATGACTAGCACCGACCAAGTTCTATCAGGACTCATTGTGGATAGGCTGAAGCTCAATGAAGAGCCATAAAACTGTTTCACCCGCATAGACGGCAAATCAATTACTGGAATGAGTATCCTTACCTCCAGTTTTTCAATGGGGTTTTCAATGACATTGAGTCGCGTTTCAGGATGGAATTGAGGACGTCCAAAAGATTTGCGCTCACCGCTTCGGAAGAAGCTCAGCTGACCGCGACGGAAACCAGTGGACTTGGAGATGAAGAAGGCCACTATGATGGTCAGGATCGCAAAGCAGCCAAGACTCAAACCGATTGCCAGACCCAAATTATTAACGCCACTTGCATTGCTCTCCTGTTTAGGCCATGGGAAAAGGTGACAAATCTTTCACTTTCATGCAATGCGTTCAACACCTTGCTTTAGACCTTGCACCTAATTTTAATTTTTATTTTACTGTCTTGCATTCCAACTTGGCAAGAAAATTAATAAAGACGTTTTAGAATGTAGAACATTGGATTCACATTTGACAGTAAAGGGAGTAAAAAGTACCCAAGCGTTACCCATGCAACCCGCATTGGGGAAAAAAATCCCTCATGAAAGGTATTCCATCTGTATGGAAACATTAGCTCAAGTCTAAAGGGCAACACACACACCATCTTCATTGCCTTAGCCACCAGTATCGCGTTTATAAACCAGAAACTTCTGATTCCTTCAGGGAAGGTAAATGTCAATCACCGAAAACCTTGTTAGGAATAGCAACTGAGACTGACCACCTTCTGCCTGTTATGCCGTCAAAACATTACGAATCCTCACAACACTAACAGTATACGGATTTGATACTTGGAGATGGACTTATTACACCGAAAGGGAGACGAAGTGCTTGGCTGTGTTCGCCATGTAGATCAGTACTGAAGCCCGAAGGCAGTTCACGTCACTTCCAAGTGATAAGTTCCGAGGTATCTTTTGAAAACCATTATAAGCGTTTTAGTTCATACGGCTGCTTTTCGGTTAGGGAGGAACCATTAGGCCTAGAAGTGGAGTCTTCACTACACTAATTGCATGATCCTATCGCAAAGTGATCTCGAAAATTGACACAAACGCTGAATGTCAATCAAACACCCTCCTACCAAAGAGCATTAATCCATAGGGTGGTAAACGACTTACTCTCAAAAAGACTGCGGGAGGACTTTACAAAAAATGCCTAAAGGTATTGTGAAGAGAAGCATCAGACTGTACTAAACGCAATACCCTCTGACAAGACCGTTATAATGTAACAGTAAACGAGGCTGAGCGAAGACATTCCTGAGCCGAGTTAAAACAATACTCTCGCGAAAAGAGAAAAGTTTCTCCCACTCTGCAACAGCAGAACTGTAAAATCAGGCATGGAGAACCCGTGGCCAGTATTTATACACCTGTAATTATCCCTAGAGTGGAAATGGCAAACTCCAAGGCCGCACAAAGCGCATGACCGTAAGCTTGTCTACCAGGGAAGATGGATATGCTAACAGCAATCGCTGTGTTCAATCTCCTGCATGACATGCATGAAAAGTGTGGCTAAGATGGTTCCCTGATAGTCATGCGTTGAGGGAGGGGGTTGCGAGCGGCGGCTGTATTTTGTTGAGACTTTGAAATACAGCCAAAAATAGGGAGGGAGATAAATGACACAGATAAACGCACATTCCTTCCCTTAAAACATATAACGCATTATCATCGAGTGCTTAGATATATGCGTTAAACCGAAATTAATGGAGGCACATAGAAGGTCGCAATTAAGGCGTAATTCAAGAGCTTAATGCTAAGCAATGACAAAATTTAAGGTGAAATGGAGACTTAATTTTGCTGGTTCTGCGAATGCGTAGTTATAAACTTAATCAAAATTACAAAAGGACCTCCAACTTGTGCCAAAGTATTACATTAGAAAGTTAAGGCGATCGAGAGGAGGTTTGCTGACATGCTGGCAAAGTAGTGCCCCTAAAATCTGCACGTCAGCGCGTATTTAAAGGCTTCGACGTTTCGTTGGGCCACGCGGGCTCATCCTTCACACACCTTTTCCGGTTATATGAAACATGCAAATCATGGTAAAATGGCAAAATTCTCCCTCCGTTTTAGTCATCAGTGTCATTTGCTGTAGTTTGGAAGGCGATGGATACAATGGTGGGAGACAGTTTTGAGAGAAATTTTAACAGGACGAACCAGTGAAATGTCCTTCTGATGTAGGGCGAGGGAGTCGCCTGATCGGACTTCCTTGTCAGAGTGTGCAAAGTCAGCGCCGTCCAAGGGAGACCGGTACTGGAGCGATGAATCTGGTCTCTTATAGGAGCCTGTAAGGTAAGTGAGAAGGCTGCAGAATGTGAAATGTTTTTTTAGATAAAAACAAATACTAAAGCACTCAAAAAGTACGAGCAACACTTGGCCACTGGGCAGCTCTAGCCCCGGTTGGATCGTCGACAGACATGACATCGTCGTCTTCGTAGTTGTCTTCTCCATCATCGTAGTCATCATCGATGTATTCCTCCCCTACAGGCACCGAATCATCCAGATTGTCGTGGGAATTGTCATGATAAACCACATTGTTGCCTGCTTGCATCTCCTGTGCAATTACAGGAGAGCTCAAAAGGATCTGCAGAAATTCACAAACAAAATAAAGTCGCAGAGAATTAATAGATTTTCTGGTCGTCATAAGTTCAGCAAGATAGTTGAAGAACAAACTGGTGATCATTGAAAGTCATATCATTCTTTCATTTGACTATAAAAGTAAAGCTTTGACAGATAAGATGGTTTCGGATTTGGCGCCTCTAAACTTGCATTAAGGCTCTTTAATTTGTATTTTCTGCTTAAAAAAGGGTGCATATTTTTTAGTCCCTTTCATTTTTCAAAGTTCCTTCCACCTTTTTTTTCCGAAGAAAGGTAGTATTTTACCCAACTAACTTGGTGCATCCGAAATGCTAAAATGATTGACATTTACAGAGTTGAATACGAATGAGGCCTCACGCATTCCATGCACACACAAACACACAAATACTGACGAAAATTTTGTGTGCAAAAGGAAAATTCTCCTTTAAAATAGTTAGCCGATTTCACCTGAACAGTAAAGGGATCCGTGTTAAGCCCAGCGTCATTGTAGGAGCAGATGAGTTGAAAATTCCGCTCCAACACCAAGCCGGAGGCAAGAGCCCTGTCGTTAGCGCGTTTTTCTATCTCAATGGGTGGCCAGTAGCGGAAACCATGCAGCAAACTGGCATATTGACTAGCCGTCTGGTGTCCCTTCATCAACACACCCATTTGCGTGGGTTCAACAGAGACACCGAGTTCGAAGGCTCGACCTGCCGGCCATACAATGCGTTCACCGTCGTTGAAGTTGAGGCCACTGCCGTTGACAGGGAGGACAAGGCATTGGTCGAGGATGAACATAGAAGCAGACCGCACCACGCTTCTCATTTGAGCTAAGGGAGCCGTGTAAACACCGATGCATTAATCACTGAGCCATTCTTGCTTTTGTCCCAAAACTATCAGATCACTTGAATGGAAGGAACGAGGCAGAGAAACTGAGAAGTACGGTGAGCTTCATCATCTGAAGGCACCTGACTAACGCAATGTTTGGTTTTAGAGACAACCTTGGACCCTAACTAGACACGAATGCCAGACTTCTTTGCAAGAAAAGGTCACTATGGCCTGGTCTGCTCCAATGGCAGGAATGTGTTAGTTAGGTAAATAGGAAATTAACACATATTACTGCACCGGACTAATCTCTTATTTCACTCTGTGATTGGCGTTGCAGTTGCACAAGCTAAGGTGAAACGTCCGGAAAACTAACTATGATTGAGACAGAATCTGATTTGTGCTTGAATTTTCGGCTACCTCTGCTGAGCAGGATGACGTTCAGCCACCGTGGATAGTTTTACACAACAAATGGGTACTCTGGCTGGGTGCTATGCCTTACTTCGTTTTCAGGAAGGTCTCGAGACGCCACATAACGAACGAGACACACTTATTTCTCCTCCCCTATTTTGAAACACAAAATATTAGAAGTGAATGCAAAAGGTCGCACCAGATCTGAATGAGGCTTCTCATCTTTGCGCGGTTGTAACTACCTTTGCCACTGCCAGTGGTGGTAACCTCACTTCAATTTGCTGTGCACATACTTTTTTTTCAAAATGTTCCCTCGTGTAAAGGGAAGCCTGTTTTGAGTGTGGTAAAAATAATTGCAGAATAAAAAGTTTTATCCCACAATATCCGCAATAATGGAGCACACTCGTAGGTGATAGTCCACCCTTTCATTGTGAATGCATCCAAAGGTGGGAATCAGGACCCGATTCCCACACCTTTTCCCCTCCTTGAAATGAAAATCAAGAAAACTGAAAGTCCATTTTAGTATAGAAATAAATGTTCACTTTACGGCTTTTACCGACCATATGTTTTGTAATGAAAGCTACAGA